CTATGCTCCGTATGACAACACCATTCCCATTCCATCCGGGTCACCTCACCATCAACAACAGCAGTGGCCCCTACACGCACACACGCCGAGGCCAATCCAGGAGAGGTGGACCGATTGGCAGAGGCGCACACACATACACACACACATAGGGCGTTTTGCGGTCTTTTCTCCCATTAGCATTCATGAGGCAGCCCCCCCTCCTCACACCGGGGCGAACTTGTGTTTATCTGAGAGCGTGCGTGGCCTGGGGTTCTGCAATCTTTGGTTCTAAACTCGAAAAAATACTTGTATGGCGATGGAATGCGTAATTTGCGTGATTTACGTATAATTGCATTGACGAGTTTATATAGAGGTTGAATGGAAACAGGGAGGGTTTGTTGCTCCTCTCTGCGTATGCATTGTCCCTGTACGTGTCCCTGTACGTGTACATAGTCAGTGTCTCATACAGGAGAATTGTCTTGTCACACAGACTGACGCTACTGAGGCGGCGACCAAAAAGAAAATGCTTGGTTCGTCTTTTACGCACGGGCTCATACATGTAAATACACACGTCTAAAAGCAGAAACCGCGGTGCCATTTTGAACGTACATGCTACACACGTTTCTTGTCTCGATCCAAGTCTACGACATTATAGATGCTCTCTGTCAGAACGCCAGATGCAAATCTTAAAGCGGTGAGTGGCGAATCACAAAGGCGCACATGGGTTTTTTTTTGCTGCAAAGGCAAGGCACATTTATTTATTAGACACCATTCATGCAGAAGCGACAACGCGTGCTGCACAGACACAGAGAGAACATAGGGAAAGAGAAAACATTCTAGGGAATAAATACAGACATAGAAAGCGAGGAATAGATAGATAGATATTTAGATAGATAGATAGATAGATAGATAGATAGATAGATAGATAGATAGATAGATAGATAGATAGATAGATAGATAGATAGATAGATAGATAGATAGATAGATAGATAGATAGATAGATAGATAGATAAATAGATAGATAGATAGATAGATAGATAGATCAGTCACAAAACCACATCATCTGAGTCAGGGGCGTTCAAAATGTGTCAATAATAAAGCCATTCAGAAAAGCCTATGTGAATTGAGAGACAGAGGCAGAGACAGGGGCAGAGAGACACAGAGTGAGACAGAGAAAGACAGACAGACAAAGAAAGAGACAGAGAGACAGAGGCAAAGACAGACAGTGAGCTTTTGAAGTTGTCCAGGTTTATCCCAGCATGACAGGCCACATTGGCACCAACCGAAAGCAGATAACATAGCGAGTCTGTACCTGTTTCCTCCGGCGCGCTCTCGGCTTCAGTCCCGCTGTTTCTCCCGGGGTTGAGAGAGAAACGTGTCACCTACATGTTTCATTGTAATCCACATGTACGTCTCTCTTGTCTCCGTCTTCCCGGGAATGGTTTTGCCTTGACGCCGCAGTGAAGCAAAAGAGAGAGAGAGAGAGAAAAAAGCGCCAAAAACCAAACGCAGCGGTCACTATTGTGTCGTCTTTACGCGCGAGTCTCTATTGAAATTGGATTGATTTTTCACGGCGTTTGTTATGGGGAGTGCTCTCGTGCTGACTCCTGATGCTCCTGCTGCTCCTGATGCTCCTGATGCTGCTGCTGCTGCTGATGCTCCTGATGCTGCTGCTGCTGCTGCTGCTGATGATGTGGTGCGCAGCTCGCTCCCCGTGGCTCTAAGTGAAACTGCTCTCAACGCGGTCCGCTCCAGCATCGATTGGGTAAAGAGGAAAAGAAAAAATAAATATCTATGGCACTCTCGCTCTCCCTCGCTCTCTCTCTCTTCTCTCACTCTCTCTCTCTCTCTCACACACACACACACACACACACACTCACTCTCTCTGGTTTCTCACTCTCTTTCTCTCTGGTCTCTCTCTTTCTCTCTCTGTCTTTCTCTTTTTTTGGTCTCTTTCTGGCTCTCTATTCTCTCTTCCTTTCTGGTCTCTCTTCATCTCTTTCCTTTTTTCTTGCCTCCTCCTTTCTCCTCATCTCCCTCCTTCTCTCGCTCTCTTTCTTTTTATTTCTCTGGTCTCTCCCTTTCTCTTTCTCTGGTCTCTCTCCCTCTCCTTTTCTCTCTCTTTCTCTGGTCTCTCTCTCTCACACATACACAAACCATCTCACCTCCTCTCTCCTTTCCCTCCTTCTCTCTCTCCTCCACCTCTCTCTCCCCTCTATCTCGTCTCTATCTCTCTTTCTCTGATCTCTCTCTTCTCTCTCTCTTTTTCTTTGTCTTTCTCTGTTCTCTCTCTCTCTCCCTCTCCCTCTCCATCCCTCCCTCTCCCCCTCCTTTTCTCTCACTCACTGCTCGTTCCTCAATAACCACCACCAGGATCAGCCAACAGAAACTCGAGTCACCACTGGCCTCCTGTGCGCTTCTCAGAACCCTATAAATTCCCGATACGTGCCACATCCTGGTTTTCCTGTCGGTGTTATGAAAGATCCCTGTCCTCCGCTTGACCCGGAACCCCCTGCTGCTGCATCCATACATTTACAAGCAGGGCTGTTACTCACTAAACTTTAACTGAGCAGTGAAAATGCCAGGAAATACTAATGATATGAAGCCGAGAATTCAGATGGTGAGCTGGATATGTGTGAGTGTGTACGAGGAGAGAGAGGGAAGATTCTGTCGGGAAGAATGAGGCATGTCCCAGGGTTTAGGAATGATGGGAAAGGGTATTAAAGGGCCCATATCACGGTTTTTGACTTTTCTCTGCTTTAAACATGATTACAATGCTATTTGGCCTTCATACACAAGCCCACAGTAGTTTATTCATTGATTCTGTCAATCTTTTGTAAGAGAGCAATCTGTCTCCTTCCCCAGCGTGAGGCACAGAAACGCTCGGGTCCACTTCAGTGACGAAAACCACACTGATGACGCGCATGACCCCGTTTACTTTGTATTTAATAGTTGTTAAATACTTTTGTCAAAAACGGGGTTAAACAATACACAATTAGTATGCTGTGTTTTTGTCAAAAACATTAGAAATAAAAATTTAATTAAATGCCGGCGGGAGGTGATTGACGGATCAAATACTGCGAATCAGAGCGCACAGGCTCCGGCTCCCGAGTCCAGCGTGGCATGTGGGTCTGGTCTCGCGGACACCACATAGAGCTGCTGTTTTTATGCTTTTGTCAGCAACTAAAAGTGTTAGGATCACTGTCAACTTGAATGAAGTGTGTTATGGGTGTAAATATGTGACACACTATTTGGCCCTAAGAGGATATAAAGCGGCTCAACTTTTTTCATCTGTTCATCTCATGGATCTATTATAATACCGGTTCATCTTGCGACACTTCACTGAGACTGTTCCAGAACTACAGGGACAATGGGACTGGACTTACTCAAAGGCTGATCTGGAAACACGTTATTCCCACGGTAAAAGACGTAACTCGGACCCCCTCGATCTGTAAGTAGTGACGCTAACTCGCTGAGTAAACTCTTCTGTAAACTAAATAACTAGGGTCTGATTGTGCATCGAGGACATAGGGCTCGATGTGACGGATTGTCATTGTTGGAAAAAATGTATTCTTATGTATGAAATGACTAAGTACAGGTGATAAAAGACAAAAGCGTGATGCTACGTCAGCGTGAGGGCGGGGGGAGGCGGGCTCACAGGCAGAGGAGCAGACTCTGGATCAGCTCGTTTGAGTTGAGGTGACGTCACCTCTATACAAGAGATGGCTATAATCTCACAAGCTTCGATTGTTGTGTGGTGTATCATACACACACATA